AAAAAAAAAACTCTTGCACCGTTTTCCAAGATATACGACATCCTTGTTTTCTCGAAAGGCGAACGACCAAATCGCAGATGACAGGCAATGCCCCTAAGAAGGTGTATCTTTATTGTCGTAATGAGACCGCTTTAATGCCGTCTAGAACGAGCCTAACGGTCATTAATGGTAACAATCTTGCCCACCTTTATCGTTATTACGCGATCGTTAACACGTTCACGTGCACGCATATACGGAGTGTCTCGTTTGCATCTTCTTCGGAGACCATCCCCTTAATTGCACCGTTATTTCACTCGTTTCATTATATTTATATTTATATTGAGAAATTGTCTCTCTCATTTATTTTTTCCAGCCAATGGTTCTGATGGTTATTAACGTATAGAAAGAATGGAATAATATTTACGGTTGCCATGGTATATACAATTTATATTAATAAAGTTTATGTGATTTGAAAAAATGATGTTGCATAATGTCACTTGATTTGGCATTATTAAATTTGATTATATTTGTTTTAAACGAAATTTAAGGTTTAGATGAAAAGAAAATTGTTCGTTTCAGAGAAGATTGTAATAATATTTCTCAATGTCTGTTACAATGTAATCAGAATAAATGTATACTTATTTTCAAAATAATTATCTACCGTAAAGTGCTGAAATAATAATAATGAAAAAATGTCGATAATTTAAACTATTGTAACTTTGTAAAAAAAATTTTATAACAATCCACTTGATTTCATTTTAGAGCGTATTCCACTATTCCACCTTATCACTATTTTCTTGGATTCGTTTTTTTTAAAGATAATTTTATATCACATAGAAAAGTAAGTAAAAGATCAAACGTCTGTAGAAATATTAAAGAATTTTTGTGAAATATAATATAAAATTATATAAAATTATTTTTATCCACCATAGTCATAAAGACTGCAATAATGATTCCTTAAAATTTACTGTACGATGTTTTTTTTCATTATTTTATTGAACTTTGAATATTCAGATATTTGTTACATAAGGTAACAGAATGTTAGAATTTCTTGAATTTTTGTCACTTAATCCTCAGGTTCAAACTTTAATAAAATAGTGAAAAGAATCATACAAGTTTCATTGTAGATTTAGTTTAAAAAAAATGTCATTGTTTTTAGAGATGTTTGAATTTTATTCAATTCTCAAAAAAAAAAAGGTTTCTTTACTTTCCAACCAGTAAATATAAAATAAAATCATCTTTGAACTAAACGAATTCAAAACTGTTAAAGTAGAGGCTTGTTATATAATTCTTTCAAAAGAACTTTTTCTTTTGAAAAATTATAATATATAAGAATTTTGATTCAATTTCCAAATTTGGACAGGTTCGTTTTTAATGAAGTAAGACTTTGAATTAAAAGGAAACTGTTTACTGCAGAAAAGATTGAAATAATATTTTTCAGCGTTCCCGCTACAACTTAATCGTAGGCCATTACACTTAACGTACACATACGCGTGACAGATAATTGGGCTCTAGAATTTCCAAACATACTTACCATTAATTAGCAGTACTCTTATTTTTTTAAGAATATTTAAAAATCAATATAAATGCATCTTGACACTCTTAATGAAGGAATATAATCGTATCACCGGTACGTCCAGTTATCTCGTACAACATGATGACGATACGATGTGAAAATAGTGTGATTCGTTCGACAGAAACTGGTCGAATAGCTTTAAATTACCCTGCGGCGCTATCACCAGCTGGATGACATCCTGTATATTTAGAATGCCATAAAAAATAACGAAGCTCACAATTAGTTTAACTGTTATGACATTCCGGTTATCGAGTCGTTTTGCATTATGTATTGAAACTTGACGTTAAATGGCCCGGCAACTTAAACTTATAATAAATTTTCATTGAGACAAGTGCTTGCCTACTTTTAATTGGCAATTTGTATATATAGAGTAAAGAAAAATTTTTGTTAACAAAATTATTGTAATTCGATAAATTAAAATTGGTAATTTACTGAAATCTTAAGTTGAAGT